GTTTTCTCTCAAAGATTTATCATTGGCGGTGTAAAAACGTACAAGTGCTCTGGCGAAATCATCCGTTTGTCCGAGGGAACGAAAGGGAAAATGTGTCGTTGCAAGAAAACCGATTTGATTCGTGTGCTTGGTTCAGTGATAGAGGTTATGTTTTCTTGTATGGTGTTGTTCAATGTATCTTTCTTTCTGTTTCAGTTTGATATCTCGCAAGCCGTGTTACGTGAACACAACCATAGGAGTGAGGTTCGCCGCCCACTAGTGAGTTTTATGTTATTTTCTCTTTGATGTGAAGAATCTTTGAATCCGTGTGCAGCATTTTATGTGTTCTTCGCTTTTGGTTTCAGTCTGTGTGGGAAAGGCTAGAACCTCGCATTGGATCGACTATCCCCACACCCTCTCTGACTGAAGATTCAAGTGATGAGGAGGTAGAGCGATTCAGCCGATTCACTGCTGAGCGCCCACCGCCTGAAGTACTCGTCATCCCAGCTGAAGTCCCTGATGAAGTGGAAGATGGGGAGTTAGTCGAACCAAGTGAAGCTAATGTACGTGATCCTAGTGTTCGAGTCAATGCTCGTGGCAGAGTGCCCAGCGGAGCTAGAGGTAGCGGCCAAGCACGTGGTGCTGCTCAAGATCCTAATGGAGGATCTGGTGGAGGATCTCCTCGTGCTGATGATCATCATGTACCTGCTCAACCTCAACCTCGCCGTGTTCGCGTGGCCAGAGGTGGGCGCGGCAGAGCTAAATTCAGCCCGCTATTTGATAGAAGCCTTGTAAGTCTCTCTGTCTTTATTACATTTAATTATGTGTAAGCATTGTCATTGTATTAATCTAAGTGATTTCTGTTACAGAAAATGGCTGAAGCTGAAAAGGCGAAGCGCAAATGATTGACTAAGTGTAGCAGTTGTCAGTTAAATTAATCTAATCTTTCTTGAATTTTGAATCATCTCTACTTTCTTCCTTGTCAATCCTATTCTCCTCTTATCTTAATCTCGAGACAAGTATTATTTGATTGTTGTCACTCTTAGTGGACTTGAGCACTATGTGTGGTGGGACTTAAAACTTTGCCTCTATTTTGGTGTGCTGAAGCTGGCTTTTATTTTCAATTGAGTTTAGAGAATGGTGAAGCCTGTCTGATTATAATTTTGATGAACATTCAAGAATTTTCCTTTTTTACTTGGCTCATTGAGTCTAAAGGTGCTCCCACAATGGAGACATCATTTCTGAGGCATCGTTTTGGCCGCGTAATCGTTTGGGGGTAACACGGTTTACTGGGGGTTTAAAACGTTTGGAAGTTATGTAAATCATTAAAGGACACTAAAATAGTAATTTATGTCGTTAATGCAAAGTCTCCCAGCGCTTTTATTTATTAAATAAAGGATATAATGTCGCGCGCGGAGGGACTACTTGTCACACGGTCGCGGAATAAAAGGCACCAAGGGATAAAACGCACCGTTTCGCCGCTAGCGAAGATGACAGCTATGAAATGCTTGAAGCACATCATAATTTTTAAATAAAGAAACCTACTTTCATCAGTATTCAGTACATAAAATAAGGCGACGGCAGGGCGGCTGCCGCGCGGGCCGACGTAGTTTCGCGAGCCTCCGAGGGATGGCGCTGCGACCATTCCCTCAACGCGATTGGCGAGCGGCAATTCGATTGTTGTCGGCTTTGGCGGTTTCTTTCTCTCTTGGCAGTTGATTGAGTGTTGAATTGAATCTTTACCAGTCAATCCCAAGATCAAACGGTGAGTATCATTTAAGTGCGGCAAAAAGGAGTATTGCCGGAACGGGGCCCACTGGGGCCCGCGCGCAAACGCCGCGGGGCGCGGGTGCGCGGGGTATCTGCACCTTTCTTTTTCTTTTTCGTTTTCTTTTTGGACAGACGCTTCTGCTTGTTTTGATGGCGTTGGTCGTGTCGTCTGCTGTCTTACTCAAAGTTAACTTGGAGTTTTCTGTCTCGGAATTTTCCAGCTTGAATCAGAGTCCGAGTCCAGCATCATTGCAGATATTTTTGGTTATTTTGACCAATAACCCACCAATTGTCCGGTTTGGTTTTAACAGCCGTCTTGCAATGTTTCCAGCAGAGCGCTGTCTGTTATTGTCCACAATGGGTCGATTGTTTGACACCGTCTGTCTAGGGTCACGTCTATCCTGCAGAGTCAGATAAGTACCTTACTTCTAAGGATAGTGTTAAATCAAGCATTTGGAATGAACTCCCCTGCACATTGCGCAACTGGCTGGTGTCGGTGTAGCATTTTGTCGTAACTCCAGAGCCTGTCCTTCTCATTCATCCAAGTTACGTACTTTTTCCGGGGTGTTGCATTCTGTCGTCATACCCAGTCCATCCGCAGCACTTAACAAACAGGTGTTGGTGTTGCATTATGCCCATAGCGTAAAGCCTCAATCACTCTGCACCAACGCCACTCACATTCGTTCATCATATGCCATTGCTTCATTCACTTGCATGGGTGTCGCCTTCTGTTTGAATCCCCATTCCAGCCTCAGCCTACGTGCTGTCACTCCTTCCACCATGTCAACGTCCCCTTGGATGTGGTTTTCTTTCTGTCATTTTGACTCTTGGATTTTTCTTGTGGTTGGCTCACTGGAAAGGGAAGGTGTGTTTATTTTTTTATCTAGGTGCAAGAGAGACAAACTTATGAATTTATCAAACCAAAGACCCCCAGCGCTTTCTGAAATTTGTAGATAATGCAAGGGATTGGAGTTGTCTGGTCTACAGGTGTACACAGTTCACGACATTACCACTGCTCAATAGTTTCTAGTTGTCCTTTGATCCTTAGTGTTTAATTTTTTGGCCTCTTTTTGTTTTAATATTTATCAGGGACATTATGATAATCGCTGAAGTGCATTAAAAACTGTATTTTTCTGCCCAGATCGTCTTTGGCTGCTGTTGACGCTCTGGATGTAATCTCCAATAATGTCACGTCTGAGTTTGTTGGTGGCCCTACTCAAGCTGAAAGGACAAGCCAACAACAGGCAATGCCTTTACAAGGCACCAAAGATAGAGGCATTTTTTTTAAGAAGTCCGATCGTGGAACACGACCGATGCCGATTTCCTCCATTTTTTGGTCAAAGGCAGTCCTTGTGGGTCTAAGAAAGGCCACAAATTTTTTGGGCCGAAATATGCACCGTTCAGATTCTATGGGCAATTTTCGTTTTCTCTGACAACTTTTCACATAATATGGCCAAAATTGAAAAATCACCTTTCTGAGGCCTCTATGCACTCGATTGAGCTCAAAATGTGGTATCTTATGTAAAATCACGCGAGGAACACGAATCCGGTGCCCGTTTGTTGATAGGACAACCCAAACAGATGTTATGACTGTTTTTCAGGTTTTGTAGTGGTTTTTACTTTTCTTGGGGTTTTGGTGTTCGGCATCGATTTTCGCCAATCCGATGAGTGGATTTTATAGATAAAGGACCAATCTATCATACTACGAGATAAAAAGTTTGTGTACGCCGCGTGAAAAGCAGTGGCGCTGCAAAAATTGAAAAACCGTCATTTCTGGGTAGTTTTAGATCAGATAAGCCACCTTTCGCGTGACCGTCTCCGCCCCATATTCAGTCTAAATATTGTCCCAAGTGATGTCAGAGTTGGTGTGAAATTTCACCGCTGTAGCTCAAGTAGTTTGGAAATGGCAGCTTTCTTAAGTTTTGCAATCACGTAAGGCATTTACTTTAAGTAGAATTGCGGTAAATGTGAAGACTTGTCACAGATCGGGTAATAAATGAGATAGATGAGTGCGTCAAAGTTCTTTAAGCGTAATTTTGGACAAGGAATCCGATTTTGCTGCTACGAAGACCCTAGGCGAACTCTGAAGTTGGAAAAATGGCCATTTTTATGTGGTTCGCACGAAAACGTAGTTTTAGAGTACACCTAGGGCCTTCGTACCGGCAAAATCGGATTCCTTGTCCAAAATTACGCCTAGAGAACTTTGACGCACTCATCTATCTCATTTATTACCCGATCTGTGACAAGTCTTCACATTTACCGCAATTCTACTTAAAGTAAATGCCTTACGTGATTGCAAAACTTTAGAAAGCTGCCATTTCCAAACTACTTGAGCTACAGCGGTGAAATTTCACACCAACTCTGACATCACTTGGGACAATATTTAGACTGAATATGGGGCGGAGACGGTCACGCGAAAGGTGGCTTATCTGATCTAAAACTACCCAGAAATGACGGTTTTTCAATTTTTGCAGCGCCACTGCTTTTCACGCGGCGTACACAAACTTTTTATCTCGTAGTATGATAGATTGGTCCTTTATCTATAAAATCCACTCATCGGATTGGCGAAAATCGATGCCGAACACCAAAACCCCAAGAAAAGTAAAAACCACTACAAAACCTGAAAAACAGTCATAACATCTGTTTGGGTTGTCCTATCAACAAACGGGCACCGGATTCGTGTTCCTCGCGTGATTTTACATAAGATACCACATTTTGAGCTCAATCGAGTGCATAGAGGCCTCAGAAAGGTGATTTTTCAATTTTGGCCATATTATGTGAAAAGTTGTCAGAGAAAACGAAAATTGCCCATAGAATCTGAACGGTGCATATTTCGGCCCAAAAAATTTGTGGCCTTTCTTAGACTCACAAGGACTACTTTTGACCAAAAAATGGAGGAAATCGGCATCGGTCGTGTTCCACGATCGGACTTCTTAAAAAAAATGCCTCATACCTTTTTGCAGTAAGTGAATTTGCTGTGAGGCTGCCGTACAGTTAATTTTGGATATCAATTTTCACTGTTTGATTTTTTGTTGTTGTCAGAGCGCCGAACTGAAGAGCAGAGATCCCGCCTTCTGTTACTGTCAGCACAGTATGTTGCCCAGAGGAAGCGGATCGCAGCTTTAAGGAAAACCGTGAGACGGTGGTGGGTGCGCCCCCTGCTGCAGCTGCACGACACTCATGGTGCTTGGGCAGTGATCATCCCACTAATGAGGGATAAGGACAAGGAGGCATTTTACAATTTTTTTAGAATGACCCCTTCCTCTTTTGACCGGCTACTGGACCTTGTCAGGCCATTTTTGGAAAAAACTTCCATCCGCAGAGCCTTCCCACCCGGAGAACGGTTGGCTATCTTCTTGAGGTACTTTCAAGGGGACGCATTTCTTTCATTATTGCAACTGCATAACTCTTCTAACATTATTTTCATATTTTTTTTGCTAAGGTTCATTGCCAGCGGAGATAGTTTCCAGAGCCTGGAATATCTCTTCCTTGTGTCAGAGAGCTCAATATTTAATATAGTCTTTGAGACGTCAACTGTCGTTTGGAATGTTCTTCAGCCTTTAGTATTTGAGAAATTTTCAGAGGACATGTGGCTTCAAAAAGCAGCAGAGTTTGAGGCTTTGTGGAATGTGCCTCATTGTGTTGGTGCAGCAGATGGCAAACATGTCCGCATCCGGGTGAGTTTGTTATTTGTGCTACTATCAAGTAATGATTGTTAGGATTTAAAACTGTGACAAATTGTCCTCAAGTTTTTTAGTTTACAAAATATTTCAATCAGTTAGTTAGCACGTATCAAAATGAGCCACATGTTTATATTTTTATCTTTTTTCTTTAGGCACCTCCTCATTCGGGATCAAAATTTTACAACTACAAGAGCTTCTTCAGTACCATTCTAATGGCAGTGTGTGATGCCAAGATGAAGCTGCTTGTAGTTGATGTTGGATCATCAGGTCGCAGAGGAGATGGAAATGTATACCATCAAAGTGAATTTAGGAAGTTGATGAAGGAGGAGAAGTTGATGCTTCCCGGCAAATGCCACGTTGATGGAATGGAAAAGAAACTACCCTTCTTCTTTGTGGGAGATGCTGCTTTCCCTCGTAGTCAAGAGATGGTGACCCCATTTAAGGGTGAGTTTCTCGACCCCGAGAAGAAAGTTTTCAATTACCGGGTCTCTAGAGCAAGAAGGGTGATTGAAAACACTTTTGGAATGCTTGAGCAACGGTATGAAGTTTTCTCCAGATCTATGAAAATAAGCGAAGCTCATTGTAAATCAGTGGTTCTAAGCTCCACTGCTCTCCACAATTACCATCTGATGGATGCAGAATCATCTATTCCAAGCCGCTTGAAAACCAGACCCGGCCCATATGAAGACCACCCAAAAGAAGGGAAATATGGGAGATTCAAGAACGAAAACACCGTCAATGAGAGCAGCATCTTTCAGCGACTTCAGAATCAGAAATCAGAAATGCAGGAATCTGATGAAGAGATGGAAGTGGATGACATGACGGAAGAGCTAATAGACTATTTCATTGAAAATGACCTTCCATGGCAATGGGCGTCAGCTGGTCTTACCAGATAAACCAAATTGAGCGAGAAGACTCAGTAGCCTATTTGATTTGTGATACTTTAGTGGCCCTTATTTTGAACTGCGAGGTCACAGTCACAGTTTAGTTCAGAGCATCAGTTCACTTGCACGGAAAAAAATTATTTCGCTACTCCAGCGAAACTGCGTTTGCTAGACTCAAGTTCGCTGAAGTGGCGAAAATAAACGCTGACACAAGGATTTAGAACGCTAGTTTAGCGAATCCCAGTTGGCTAATTTAGCAATCGCATTTTGCCTACCTACGAGCGAATTTATTTGCTAAACGAACAAACACCATGCCAAAGGTGGGCGCAGGACACAAGTGCGAACCTCTGGCTGATGCGAGGAGAATGACATGGTAGTCTGGAGGCAAAGCGTGCGTCTCGTATTGAGGAGATCACGGGTTCAAATCCTACTGAGGTCGAATATTTGTCAAGCTGAGCGTCACCTGGTACCGTACGGTGCAAATCAATTGGGTTGGACCAACGTCAAGCAGCAAGCATGTTAACGCTGGATGAGCCAGCGATACGCTTTTTGCTAGGGCAAAGACTGTTCGCTATTTTAGCGAACAGAAGTCGCTAATACATTCCTAGCCAATATCCCATGTCTACCCCAGCGTTCATGAATCGCAATCCCAGCAATATTTGTTTGCTATTCCAGCGAATATTTGCTTGGCGAACAAAAGTTCGCTGTTTCAGCGAATTTGCCCCTCGTCTCAAATCTAGAAGGCCGAAATTCGCTGAATCAGCGATTTTCTCGCTGAATCAGCGAATTTCTTTTTTTCCGTGTGATATTGTTCACAATTTCACAATGAAGTTTGTAACTTTTTGTAGTAGAGTTGTGTTGTCATTCCATTGTGTAGGTGGTTTAAGTGTGTCCAGTTTGTACAAAGTGCGTTGTTGTTTGAGGCACATACTTATTATGTATATTGTGATTTCTTAGCTTGATGTTTTAATGTGATGTCAATTACTAGATAGAAAATCTTGAACTTTGTACATATTTGTGAGCATGTATTGTATTTATTCAGCTTGTGCTTGGTCAGTGAGAGTTAAGCATTTGGACAGAAGTGGCGTGGAGAAATATGATATTTAAGTCTTACTAGTGTGATCAATCAAAGAAAATTTAGATTTGTAATGTTTGGGATCTAGATTGTGGCCATCTTTGCAGTTTTTCATAGTGGACAAAGTATTTCTGTATTATTTGGTACATTCAGCATGATTCTCTGTGATGTCAATACTTTGATGATTTTGCATTTAAAAAGTGATGCATGTCTAATTGTAAATAAATGAAACAAGAATTTTGTGACTTCTTATATGTAATTTATTATTTTCCAAAATCTTGGAATGCACAGCCAAAACAAGTGTGATACTGCCACAGCCAAATTGAAACTAACTGGGTTAAGCTTAATAGATCAATTTAAAATAGCTCATTTCTACATAGAACAAGTTAAACTTTAAGCTTTAGCATCAACATGTAACAAGATTACTAGTTGCACCGTAATTTTCAGATATTTCTAAACCACAGCGTTGTAAAGTGTACAAATTATGCCACAGGCAGGACCCTAACTATCATGACCTATATCACTTGGCCAGTAAAATCAAATATATCACTTATCACACAATAATTGCATTGGGAATATTGCCAAAACAATTAATACTGCCACAGCTAAATTGAAACTAACAGGGTTAACTTAATATAGTGCTTTGGAAAAGTTCATTTTCATCAGCATGTTACAAGATAACATAGTAGGTGTTGCACCGCAACTTTCAAATATTTCTACACCAAAATGCCAGGTTGTTAAGTGTACAAATTATGCCACAAATGGCAGGACCCTAACTACCATGACCTATATCACTAGGCCAGTAAAATCAAATATATCACTTATCACACAATAATTGCATTGGGAATATTGCCAAAACAATTAATACTGCCACAGCTAAATTGAAACTAACAGGGTTAACTTAATATAGTGCTTTAGAAAAGTTCATTTTCATCAGCATGTTACAAAATAACATAGTAGGTGTTGCACCGCAACTTTCAAATATTTCTACACCAAAATGCCAGGTTGTTAAGTGTACAAATTATGCCACAAATGGCAGGACCCTAACTACCATGACCTATATCACTTGGCCAGTAAAATCAAATATATCACTTATCACACAATAATTGCATTGGGAATATTGCCAAAACAATTAATACTGCCACAGCTAAATTGAAACTAACAGGGTTTTAACTTAATATAGTGCTTTGGAAAAGTTCATTTTCATCAGCATGTTACAAGATAACATAGTAGGTGTTGCACCGCAACTTTCAAATATTTCTACACCAAAATGCCAGGTTGTTAAGTGTACAAATTATGCCACAAATGGCAGGACCCTAACAATCATCACCTATTATCCTTTTGGTCAGTAAAATCGAACATATCACATTCAACAAAATTAGAAATAGTTATTGGATAGGACTGGATATATCCAATAAGAGCCAAGTAGGCATCCATACAAATAAACTATTATTGAAAATTACTTTCAAAACAAACTTCTAACTTAAAAACTAAATAACTAAAGGCAAAGGCAAGGAAATGTCACAGCTAATAGCTAGTGGAACATTTAACGTAATTAAGCAAACATCAAAGTTAAGGAAGAAGACAGCCAGAATACAGTTCATAGACTATTTTTCGCCTTATCATAGAAGTATTGGCATGCCCCTTGTAAAACAAACTTTTGCCTCTAGCTATGTATGAGGCGTATAGGCAGACAAACACCCCACAGTCATCTCCATTTTCTTGAAGTGGAACATCCTAGAAAAAGGAGGGGGAAGAGATACAATACACAGATACCATAATGTAAAATATCATTAAGATTTTGCAAGCATACCTCAGAAAGGGCCTTACTCCAGGGAACAGACAGTACTTCCATCTTCTTGGACAGATGCTCCTCTTGGAGATACTGCAGGATACACTGCAAGGAAACAATTCAGTGAGTGACTATGTTCAAGATAGATGCAAAAGTAAATAGGTAAACTTCAGACTTACATTTATTGCCTCTTTGTTCTCATCAGAGAGGACCTTTGATCCATTCAAGCTGTCATAGTAAGTCACTGCTTTTTGTTTGAGGTCGACAATGACAAGGGTCCAATGATGTTTCAAATGTACAGGAAAAGCCAAATACTTGTATGAAAAAATATCAACCTGCAAATAAACACATGCAATAATAAACAATAAGGAAAATAAATAACTAAATAAATAAATAAAAAAATTCAAGCACAAATAAGACACTTAAAGACCATCTACAAACCTTTTTTTGTCCATTTGCTTACAAAAGCGTAGCCATCAGTGCGATACTTGGGTAAAAAAAATGTTGAAAAGGGGTACAAAATTTGTTGCTCATTCTCCTGAACGACTCTTAAATAAAAATTGATTATCTGGAAAAAAAGAAGAAAGAATGGACATAGTGCAAAAAGATTGTACCAGTACAATTAAATGTTATGATGAGAGGATCTCTTACTTCATCATTCAGCCAAGTGCCGGGCTTCAGGGTAATGAGGTCATACCCTTTAATGGAGAATCCAAAATTTTCCTTCAATGTCCTCTCTGGTTCACTTTGGAGGAGTTGATCCACAATGGACTGTCAAAAAACATAATAAAATTATAGTCATGATAAAAGGATTTTTCTAAGATTCAAGGGATTGGTGAAATCATACCTCTTGGTCAGCAGTCAAAGGCACAACGGTGAAGCCAGATGAAGACACTACTGGTTCATTTACCGTCCTGAGAAAATAATATATTATTGTAGTTAGTTGAAATAAAAAGCAGACAGAACGAATGTACAAACAATAAAGCAAATTTACCTAGTGGCAGCCTGTTCTTGAGCTTTGCAGACAGTAATCCAAAGCTCAGCAGTTACTGAATTGGCAGTACTTTGGTCAAGCTTTGCTACTTTACCAGCCAGAGCCAAGAAAAACAGCTTATTTGGATCTGATGTTTCTGGCTCCCTTTCCACCCTTTCACTTTTCAACCGCTCAAGTTCCTCCAGCACAGCGCGCTCTAGGTGATCAGCATTTGCAGTTTTCGGGTCATTAAATTTTGGAGGCTTTGGAGCAGCATTCTTGACCTTCTCAGCAATTTTTTTTCTTCTTTCTTCACGTCTCCGATGCAGCTCTTCTTGTTCTTTCTGGGCAAGAAGTGCTTTTTTGGTTTTTTTGCTGAGTAGATTATGCTAAAATTTAAAGAAAAAAGAAAATGGATTTGGCTATACAATGATGTGTCTGCAGAAAATTACAGCTAAAATTTGAATACTCGATTTCAATGAAACTTAGTTTCCCATGTATATTATTAAGGCAATGACCAAAATAAGACTTACCTCTTCAATTTCCAATTCATCATCCTCGGTTTCACCTTCTGTAATTAGAGGCAAACTTGGTTTCAGAGAAATAGGGCGAAACTTTCTTTTGAGAGTTTTCTTTCTAGCAGTGGCCACGCTCTTGATGAAAGGTGAGGAATTTGCCTGGGGCTGTAATGTGCCCAAAGGCTTTCGTTCTCCTGTTTTTGGAAAAGTGAGAGACAAATCCTGTAATAGCAAAGGAAAAAACTTAAAAAAATCACAATGAAGACTCCCAGTAAAATAATTTTTAACACTCATCATAAAACTAACATTTAAGACAGTACTCTGAGAATACATATCAATTTCAGAAAGAGTACTTGACATGGCCATCGGTTTTAGTGCCTTCCTGTACTCCATTGCTTTCTTCAATTCTTGCTCATTACAAATATTAATGGAATGCTCCACTGCATCAGTTTCCAGGTCAGTGGCTACATTAGTGGTATCAGAGGGCACATCCGTAAAGTCATTCTCGGTATTATTCTCAAAGTCTGTGTCATCTCCACTTCCTTCTTCTAAATTTCCTTCTTGTTTTTCATTACTTCCAATTACGTTATCAAGGAATGACATATTCTCAGCATAAATATACGGTTTTTTTGCTTTCTTGGTTGCAATACCACT